ATCATAAATTAAACCTAATTACTTGATAAAAGTAACTTAATGAGAACACTAATTTTGGTGTAAGGAATTAATGGAATATTTTGCATTATTATATCAAATTTATTTTTCTTCAAACTTTTATTTTAAAGTTAGATTTCCAAATCTTCCAAGTCTTTTTTAAACCTGAAAAAATTAGTTTCCAAAAAATATTATTTTCTAATAATGTTCTTTTGCGAGTATTATACTAATAGGGAAAAAATTAGGAAAAAAGAAACAAATTTACTGTTTGAATAAAAAATAACTTTGACACGTCATCATTTAATCCCAGTAACATATCTAAAATAGCAATCCAAATTTTACCAGTGAAAATTACGTAGCAAAATTTACAAGATATATTCATAATATTAAATAAAGTCCTTCTTTTATAACTAAAAACTTAAATATATAATATCTATTCAAAATAAAAATTACTAGAAGTGACATATACATAATAAGATAAATTATAGGTATGAAATTCTAAACTTGTTCTCAATATCAACACCTTCGACTCAACGTTCTTCCTCTTTATATTATATGTTATCTTTTACTTTTCTGAGATTTATCGTCATCACAGGTAAATAATATTACACATAAGAACAAACATGAATTTCATTAAGAAAAGTTTGTGTCAAGATACATAATTTAATTTAGAACATTTTAAGATGAAATTAAGTTACTGTGACATGACTTATATTAAAAATAAATTAAAGTTAAATCATATTGACACAGTTTAAGAAATATATTGAACTGAAGTCATATTCAACTTGAAAATGTTCTTGACTAAAATTATGTTATTTTAACACAAATTTTTCATATAAAATCGTGTAAAGATAATATAACTTATCCATATCCACAATTATTTTAAAAATTACCTACTTTAGTAAATTTTAAAAAAGAATTACTGGAAAAAAAAAACAAAACAAAGAGGCTTCTATAGTCTAAGCCATCCATCTCCATATATGTAGTCTCTGCTCAGAAAAGGCTCAGCTTCTTCTCTGCTTAGAGCTTTCGACCATTCCACCCTCTCACTTCTGTTTGATCCTTTTCCTGAACACTCATACTCTCCAAACATTGCAGTCCTGTCAAAACCAGAAAAAAGAAAACAATATCAAAATATAGTTCTGTTTTTTTATTTTTTTTGCAGTGATTTTCAAATTCTATTTTTCTTTTTCACATGATTTGTTATGAGCATTTCCAAGTTTTGAAGATTCTGCAATTTTTCACAGTATGAAATTGGGAGTGATCTTCAAACTCTTGAAGATTTCTAACAGCATTTTCTTGTGATATAATATAACAATTGAGATGATCTAAATGTGAGCTGAAATTATATACCCTTGTCTTGATGGATCACCCCAATCGCTCCATCCCAAGGGATTGATAACATCATCCATGTCACAGTTTGAATAGATTGTTGTTGCATAGTTCCCCCATGCTCTCCCAAGAAACACACTACCACTTCCTTTGATTGTGCAATTAACAAATGAAAATCCTGTATCTTCATCTTCTGAGTCTCTGTGATGAGCTGCAATTGCTCCCCAAAACTCAGCTACAGAGTATAGAACACACTCCTGCTTCCACCCAAGTGTCAGAAAAATGATTTTGCATAAACTGTTTGTGAAGAAGGAAGTAAACCATAAAAATGGGGGAAGTTATTTACATGAAACAACGATTTAGCATTGCCAAATATAAAATCAACAGATCCTTGAATGTAACTTCGATAGAAATAATGGATTCCTGTGTTATCAAGGAGGGTGTCTTGCTCCCCCACAAGCCTAACTCCATAGAATACAGCTTTATCACCGTCTACACGCAATGCTACTGCTTGACGTTTATCTGCTTCTTTATCTACCAAATTCTGCAAAACAGGTAGAACAAAATAAATAACCTTTAAGAAATCAACTTTAAATCTAACTTAATTAAGTCTGTTTAATCAGACATTGTTTAGTAACATGATTCTTCTGAAAAAATAGCTAACTCTATCATACTTCTAGTTCTGATATCTATTACGATTGAATAATAATGCTTACTTCAGTTCGAATTGCAGCAATTAAGTTTTCCAAGAAGAAAAGAATCCATTTGTAAGATGTAGTTAGTTCTTAATTATTACCTGAATTGTAAGAGCTGTTGCGCAGAAAAAATCAGATTGTACCCATACAGTTGCTGTACTAATTGTGCCCATTTCTTGGCCGTTGGAGTCTTTGTCTGATGCCTTTGTACTGTTTGTGATAATAACTATGCCAATGCCATTACCTATAGCCGCTATATTTGCATTCATAGTTATGTTAGGTTTACCTATTAATGAAATGAACGGCTTGCTTTTCGGCACATGCACTCTTTCTCTGCATAAGTTAATTGCGTGCCACCAAAACATTCATTACTGCACATTTCATTATCATAACATAACAATCACTTAATGAAGATCTTGGGTAAGTCCAATAACTCTTTTTAAAAACAAAGACATGAACTTTGCTTTACATTTAAAAGTAAAAATATGCAAACGATCATCAACAAAGTCACCCAAAACCTCCCCCTCTGATATCACTGTTAGGTCTATCGAGAAAAAGGTTTATCGGGAGACACAATACTAATGAGATCTCAACCCAACCATATAAGGAATTGACATCACTCTTTATCCAAAACCTTAAAATAATGGATTAATGAGTCTTTTCTTTTTATAAGATGTTCTATTTTTCATTTTTCTTCAATATGAGACTTAGACTCACACTTGAATTTCTAAAACTGTGTTCATCTAAAAATATAATGAAACAGTAAAGAACTCATAGGATCTTAAGAGGCATGAGAAAAGTTACAGAAAATCTTAGCTATATGATGAAAATGAGTACAAAAAGTTGAACTGTTGTCACAAACCTATAAATTCCAGGATAAATGAATATCTTGACCCTCTGTGTGTTGTTTTGCGGAACCATATCTACAGCTGCTTGAACCGTTGTTGAATCTCCGTTACCATTTTGATCGACCACAATAACTCGACCACCAACGTTGGATGTTGTATCCTTTTCATCCACCATGAAATCATCCCACGTAATCACGTTTCCAGCATGATCGCTATCAGTATCACCAACACACTTCAACAGCAACACCAAGAAAACCAAACCTGATGATAATAACATCAACCTCATCTTACTCATTCCTCCTCCAACTACACTTTAATAACTTAATAATGTGATAAAGGAAATAATATGGAAGGATTTGAATTCTAGGGAGTGAGAGAATTGATAACACTAAGAATGAGAATGAAGAGATTGATGAAGAGAATCATGCATGAAATGAACCTCAAAGGAGTGATTTTGTTGGTCTGGTTTAAGTTTATAAAGAACTCATCAGCAACCAAAAGAGTTTGTACGAACACTGGATGGAATATTTTTATTGAAATAATTTCTGTGTATTAATTTGTGTGAAGCTGATTTGGTCAACATGCATGCATACATTCATATAGATGGTTACTATTAGGTTATGGGGACCAACCACCAAATTAACCTGTTTATTCACTTCACGATTTGGTTTCATACTTCAATTTATTGTATATTGAATTGGATTGCATTACAGTGCACGCAATGTTCAATGTGTCTGTGGTGGCTACAGTGAAAGATAGGGAAAAACCAATTCTCATAACTATCTTCCAATACCAAATATCGTTATGTCAATTATAGTATATCTGAGTTATTGTCAGTTTGAAGTTTAAAGAGAATGACTTCTTAGTAAAAAATTTAAGAAACCGAGTATTTCATTATTGGTCTTAAGAGCTTTCCAAAACACTCTTACATGTGTTATGGAAAGAGCTTTCCGGAACACATTGAAATTTTTTTGAAAAAAACTTTCAGAATAAGTTCTTTTAGCAGTTTTTTTCTCTTCTTCCTCTGCAATCACGGCGGCGGTGGTGACAGTTATTACGTGGTGCAATTGGGAATGATAATTGAATATTTTCCTTGAATTATGGGGTACAGGAAGAATTTTGATGGGGTGCATGAAACAATTCTCTTATTTATTTTGTAGTGTTATGCTCGGTTGGGCCAGATTTATTTGGACCTGGATCCACCAAGTGGGACATTATAAGTTTGGCCCATAAAGGGAAAATATAAAATAATGGATAAAATAAAATTATGCAAATTACTGACAACATAACTTGAATTCTAAAGAGTGTATTTGGGAAAACTGAAAAAAAATATTTAAATAATAAATTATATATACTAATAAATGTTATCGCAATGGTTTATAACTAGAATAAGTTTTTCCAGACAAATAAATATAATATTTAAACAAACAACAAAATGACTAATACATTTTTAATTAATATGCATTAATTATTATTCTATATCAATGTCATATTTATGCTATATCTTCAGTAATGAACTATAAAATACTTTGAAAAACTTAATTTTAAGAACTAAGAGTAAACCAAATAAAAAAAACATGACAGGAGTTAAAATCTTGAATAAATTAAAATATGAGAAATAAAAGTACAATCAAACTTCTATATGTGAAACCAGCCGCCGAGGATCAAGACAATTATGTCTTCTCTTCCATGTTCGGTCCAAAAGAAATTTTAATTTTATAATCCCTTCACTGTACAATGCCAATAATGCAAAAATAGCTTTAAAATATGCAACTTTTTAAAAATATTTTTTTATCCACCATACCCGAAAGATTCTCCATTTTTCACAAACAGTTTAGTTTTGTCATGTCATTCAAAAACAACTTAAAAAAACCATAAAGACTTGATATATGATATGAAATAGATATTGCCACACACAATTCAGAGTTAAATATTTTGCTATATTTAATATTAAACCAAATTACATTCACATGTAGCTAGATTTATTTTTTTAGAGTACGTCGATAAATGAATTATTTAAATTGATTGGTTGATTATTATAACATAAAAGATATTGGTTTATTAAATTAAAAAATATAAACTTTTTTGAATGTGTGGTGCATCCAAAGGGTATTATTATTACACCGAAGAACACTAAAATCTATGTTTGACAAATCCACCAATGATTCAAGGACTTATTCTTTTGTTATGTCTCTCTCTTCAAAGTTCATCATTCAGTGAAATTGGGATGTGGAATCTGCTCTTCTGAACCTTAAAGCTTTTGCTTCAAGTCACAGATCACAGTCACATAACATTTTCCATCAAACAATTCAATTTTGCCTCAAAATCATGTTGAGAAGGCACTCCCTTATGAGTTCAACACCAAAACAAGTGTCCCTCTTTTTTGTTAGCCATTTCCATTCCACCCTTTTCACTCCATCACCAAAACAAGTGTTCCAAACCCATAATCGTTGGTGGGGTTACCCCAAAAGCTTCAAACCCAGTTTCAACCCCTCCTCACCCTTTTGCAGACACAAAGCCAGCACCTTGCACAGTGGTTCCTCTGTAGAACAAATTGAACATGTTGAAGTTGCTGACCGCGATGTCTGGATGAAAATGAAGGATGAAGCAAGATTTGATGTCTCTGTGGAACCCATCTTGTCAGGTTACTACAACACTTCCATTCTCTCGCACAAATCATTAGAAACGGCGTTGGCCAATCACCTTGCCGTCAAACTCAGCAATGCATCTCTTCCTTGCAGCACCCTTTCTGATCTTTTTGTCACGGTTTTGGAAACAGATGAAGCCATCATGGCTGCTGTGAAGAGTGATCTGATTGCAGTTAAGGAGAGAGACCCGGCATGCCTGAACCTCGTGCACTGCTTCTTGAATTTCAAAGGCTTTCTGGCATGTCAAGCTCACAGGGTGGCTCACAAACTGTGGCTGCAGAGAAGGAAGGTTCTTGCTGTCATGATTCAGAACCGGGTTTCTGAGGTTTTTGCGGTGGATATTCATCCGGGGGCAAAGATTGGAAGTGGGATTTTGCTGGATCATGCAACAGGGATTGTGGTGGGAGAGACGGCTGTGATAGGGAACAATGTGTCAATTCTGCATAGTGTGACATTGGGAGGGACTGGTAAGGTTTGTGGAGACAGGCACCCAAAAATTGGCGATGGGGTTCTGATAGGTGCTGGAACTTGTATTTTGGGGAATATTAAGGTTGGTGAAGGGGCAAAGATTGGTGCCGGTTCAGTTGTCATTAAGGATGTTCCTCCTAGGACTACAGTTGTTGGTAACCCTGCTAAGCTGGTAGGAGGAAAGAACAACCCTGTTAAGTTGGATAAGATTCCCAGCTTAACCATGGACCATACTTCACATATTTCTGACTTCTATGATTATTGTGTTTAGACCTTGAAGTGTAATGTAGTGTATTCCTCAAGCATGCTTTGGAATTTTGAGTTTAGAAATGATTATGATTGATTGGGGTGGCTCTTGTTTGTTAAGAGAGAATTCATGTTCTCCTATTGATAATAATAGGAACGAAAATAACAATGAGAGTTGCCTTGATTACAGGATGTTGTGTATGCTCAACAGTTATACTCATGTATGTATGTATGCTTGTGTTATCAGTATATGAGAATTTCACTACTATTGTTTTCATTTTCCTTTATACTATTGGCATTTACTAAGTCTGGTAAAAGGATTTGATGCATGCAACAGCATATGTATTGGACAAGTAACACATGGTTGTTGTACATTCTAGCCTCTTGCTTGCTACTCTGAAGTAATAAGATGAAGTATAACTACAAGTTTTTTGGGGAATGCAAAATGGTTAAGATAAATTGATAGTCTTGTCTTAATTCAGTTACAGCTAAAAGAACAATTGTTACCCAATGTTATGAGATTCTTTATAATTCACAAATTGAAGAAAGAATAATGATTAAAATAATAATAACTAAAATTTAGTCATAATATTATTAAATTATTATATTATAGTAAATGAAATATCTTTATATAATTATAATAATAAAATTGCTTTTATGATAATAAATTAAAAAAATATAAATGTTTATATAAAAAACCATCAAAATTGTATTATACTTAATAAAGATAAACAATAATTAAAAGTATAAAAAAAATGATCAATTATGTGTCTTACAAATAATTTAATATATTATTAAATGAAATCAAAGAAAAATAAATATATAACTAAAGGTTATCAAGATATCACATAACTTTTCAGATTTTAAGTCCATGAGAAATAATAAAAATTATTTTAACAAAACAAAAACCTTTAAACAAAACAAAAA